AAAAAAAAACCCAAACAAACCCTAAGCAAAATTTACCATCAAAAACAACCTATAAACATTGACTTCTGTGGCTGCAGCAACAACACACTGGTACTATGGGGCTTTTTGGACAGGCTACCTTCCAGATCCCAGCACCATTTCTGTTGGGTTGATTTGGTCATGCTCCCTTCAGATAATCCCAACTAATTTGTTCCAATACCCAATTTTAGGACAGAGGTAACTATGCTTAGTTCAATTTAGAGAGGCTAATTGCCAGGAGATTTCCCCAACCAGGTGATAAATTATTTAGGCCAATAGAGGAAATGACTACATCAATGAAACCGAAAGCCTTGAAGTAGTAGATTATGAAATCAGCCTCTTGAGAGAATGTATGGATGGTCCATTGAGAATTTCTGAGATTGTACTAGGGTATTGCTTGGGATTATTTCCCCACTCCCCTCCCACTTGCCGGGTTATTTGTGCTCTCTCATCCTCCTTACCTTGTATTTACTTATCTGTGTAAATCCCATTTCCTCCAGCACTATGTAAGCACCTTGAAGATAGAGGCAGTTTTATTTATATCTTAGGTTTTTTTCCTAGCACTTGGGTTAAGTTACTTCTTCCCACTGGGTCCCCATAAAATTAGGAGATCGGCCTAGACGACTTCTAAGATCTTTTTTAGTTCCAAGTCTGTGATGGATAGATTGATTAATTGAGGTAAATGCAGCCCTAATAAATTTTTTGCTTTCATTTAGTATCCAATTAACTTTACAATCAATACCCTCTTCCTGTCCCTTATGCCTGGAAAGCCCTCCTTCATCTCTGTCTGCTGGCTTTCCTGGCTTTCTTTAACTAAGATCCCACCTTCCACAGGAAACCTTTCCCAACTCCTCTTAATTCTAGTGACTTCCTTCTCTTAATTCTTTCCTTTATTTTTCCCAGTCTATTTTGTTCTTACATAGTTGTTTACACATTGTCTCCCCTGGTAGACTGGGAGTTCCTTGAGGGCAGGCATTGTCATTTGCCTTTATCTGGATCACTTAGTTCACTGCTGGGCATGTAGTAGGCATTTAATAAACGATTGGCTGCTCTTCCTCCTTTCTAGCTTCTCTTCCTTTTAGTCCATCCTACACAAGTTGCCAGATTTATCTTCATAAAACACAACTTACATTACATCACTCCTTTGTTAAATAAAAAAAAAAAAACACAACAAAAAACCCTACCAAACCTTCAAAGACTACTGGCAAAATAAGGTTCAGACTTCTTGGTTTGTCGTTTAAGATCCTTGGCAACTGGTCCTAACCTGCAAGTTCCAGTCTTATCTCCCACTGCTCCCTTATATAAATAATTACAGCAGGAAGATTAGATTATTTACTGTCCCTAGAACACAACTTGCATTCTCTACCTTTTGCTCTCGGTGCCTTAGCTATTCCCCACCCTCAAATGTCCTCTTCTCCTCCTTTCAAAGCCTAGAGCAAATCCCAATCATTCTGGGTCTCCTCTAAACTCTACAGAGCTAACTTTCCTTCCAGCTTTAGCTCCAAACCACTTCCTTCACGGAACCTGATCTGACCACCACTCCCCTTCCAGCTTGGTAGAGTGCTTTCCCTTATCAAAATACTGTTTTTCTGTGTATATGTTGTATGCCCCTCCCTAGTAGAATGTAAGCTCTTTGAGGTCAGAGATTGCATCATCTTTTTCTTAGCACAGTGCCTTGCATATAATGAGCTCTTAATAAATGCTTGCTGAAAGGAAACATCTTTTGCTACCATACATCAACCAATATTTATTAACAAAAACTGACATTTACTATTATCAGAGTGAGAGAAGTTTAGTGACTTGCCCATGGCCACACAGCAAGTATCAGGATTTGAATTTGTGTCTTCTGAACTCCAAATCTAACACACACCACTCATATCCTTCCCTCTATGTGCAGTGTACTGCAATTGATGCTAGTGATTAAAAAAAAAAAAAGAAAAGAAAAACACAGTCCCTGCCCTCCAGAGGGATATTCTAAGTACCCAGATAAGTATGGTACAAGATAGAATACAGGTGAAAAAAAGGCAAAGGACAAATCCAGAAAAGGTGTTCTAGGAAAACTTAAGGAAGAAGGAGAACATTTTCATTTGAAGGGATTAGGAGAAAGCTCCCCATAATCACAGAGGAGGTGATAATTGAACTGAGCCTTGAAGGAAGAGAATGATTTCTATAAATGAAGATGGAGAGATTATACATTCCAGGTGTGGCGTACGGCCCGAAGCAATACATGGAGGCTGGGAGGAATAGGAGGAGATCAGGAAACATCCAGCAGTCCGGTTGAGTTGGAACATAGGGCATATGAAGGAGAGTAGTGTGAAATAAGGTGTGAAAGGTAATAACAACCTTTTTTTTTTTAAATCAAATATCTATTATGTTCAAGGCATTGTGCTTTGTGGAGGACCTTAAATAACAAGCTGAGGAGTTTGTATTTTAGCTGATAAAGCAACAGGGAGCCACTGAAAATTTTTGAACAGGAGAGAAACATGGGCAAAACTGTTCCTTAGGAAGATGATTTTGGCTGTAGGGTGGAGACAGTTGGAGGCTGTCAACAATAGCTGCCTCCCTTTCCTCTCCTTTCAGTTTTTCTAAACTCTCTGAAATCTGGCTTCCAGACCCTTTTTTCCACTAAAATTGCTCTCCCCAAAGTTACCAATGATACCTTAATTGCCCAATCTAATGGCTTTTTCAGTCTTCATCCTTCCTTGTTTCTGCAGCTTTTGACATTGTTGATCACCAGCTCCTCTTGAACTCTCTCCTCTCTAGATTTTTATGATGTGGTTCTCCTCTTATCTGACTGCTCCTACTTTCCTGAATCTTCCTCTGGGCAATGCCTACTAATTTTGGATGTCCTGAAATCAGGGTTTCATGGGTCCTCTTTTCATCTCCCTCTAAACTATCTTACTTGGTGATCCCATCAGCTCCCAAGGTTTGGTTCAATGATCAACTCTATGTTCATTATTCTCAAATCTATCTATTTAGCCACAATCTCTCCTGACCTCCAATCTTGTATCACTAACTGCCTTTTTTTTTTTTTTTAGACTGAGTAACCATCTTATCGGGGCTGAAAGTCACCCCATCTCTTCCTGATTCTGTTATTTGTTGGCAACAGAAGTTTTGACCTACTCTGTTTCTGACTTGTGTTGAATCACTCCTTCTTAGACAGACTGGTGGCCCTTCACTCGGCGGGGCAAACTTCACTGTTGGTGGCCTTTTACTCTTGGGGGGATACTGGATTTGCTTTAGCTCTACTACTACTCAGAACTCTGGAGCTCTAGTGATTCACCAACCTCAGCCTCCCCAGGAGGAGAGATTACAAAGGTGTGCCACCCTACCTGGCCTACTTACTACCTCTTAGACATCTCAAACAATGTCCTATAGTTCCCTCAAATATTTTTTCCAATGTTTCTCCCTTAAACACATCCCTTCTTTTGGATTTCCCCATTATCATCAAGGGTACCACTGTTCTCCCAGTCACCCAGGTTTCCAATCTCTGTGTCATCCTATATCCTTTACTTGTACTTGCCTCACATATCCAATCTGTTGCTAAGTGTTGTCATTTCTATCTTTACTATATCTCTCACATAAAAGCTTCTTTTTTGAATTCACCGTAGTGAATACCCTCATCACCTCTCACCTGCACTGTTGGAACAGCCTTCTGGTTGGTCTCTCTCCCTTCTGTTCCATCCTCTATTCAGCTCCCAAAGTGGTCTTTCTAAAGCTTAGGTCTGACCATGTCACCTCCTACTCAGTAAAGTCCAGAGGCTCCCTATTGCCTCTAGGATCAACACTAAAAGATAACAAAACTTTGGTTACATATAACTAACAATGTTGGTACAGTCAATCCCTACAAAAAGTAGAAAGTGACATGTGTAGAATTAGCCCATTGAACTGTGAGGTGGCTTTGTTTCAGGGGGATAAACTTGGTGGAGTTCAGAAACAGCAGATGTGACCTCACTAGGGTAGAGGACAATTGTTCTAGTTATATCTTGTTTCCCCTCAGAGAGATCAAAGGCTTACCCACTAGGACTCAGCAGGCATCTCTATAAGAATCTCTGATTCCTTCAGTGTGGGAGCTCCCTCTGCCAGATAATTGAGCCTTTGTACAAGGTAACTTGGCTATACTTTGAAGTTGGCAGAGGTTCATCAAGATTTGTCTAGGGTCAAAGTGACTAAGTATCCTTTTATTTTTGCAGACTTTGGCCTTGTTATTTTTTACTTTTTTCCACTTAACAGTTTTTTTTTCCAATTACAAGCAAAGATAGTTTTCAACAATCATTTTTATAATATATTTAGTTTCAAACTTTTTTTTCTCTCTCCCTCCCTCATCTCCCCACTTTCCAAGACAGTGAGCAATCTGCTATAGGTTATACATGTACAATCGTATTAAATATATTTCCATATTGTGACTAAGTATCTAAAGCAGGATTTTTGAACCCAGATCTCTGAATCCAAGTACAGCTGAGCACTTGGACTATTGTCCCAGCCTGCATACTGGAAGCACTTAATAAATGTTGGATTTTGTAGAGGAAAAAGTCTTGACTTTAAAGAGAAACTGGGGGTACAGTCCCTTCTCTTCTCTAAGTCTCTGTTTCCTCCTCCGTCAAATAAGATGACCACTAAGGTCTGTCCCTTTCAAGTTAAAGATTTTGCGATTCCAGGAGGATAGGAATTGAATGGCGCCTTTCACAGCGCACTCTCTTTGGAAGCCGCCATCTTCCGTACTCAAGGGCCACGCACTACGCATGCTCTAATTTCCCGGGGACACAAAGCCGACATGTGCGCATGCTCGCGCTCAGTCACCCGGACATCCAGCCGGCTGCGGCTTGACTAGAAGGCCTGGGAGCGAGGACCACGGGCTTTCGGGCCTCGGTGCGTCCGGGTTTCCGGGAAGCGGGCGAGGAGGGGGAGGGAGCTCGGCCCCAGGGCTGTGGGCAGCGGAGTCGAGCCGAAGTTCTCCCCGGGCTGGCCCGGCCTTGGAACCGTAGCGCCTTCAGCCCTGAGGATTCGGGCTGCGAAGAGCCTCGCGCTTCTTGCGGCGCATGCGTGGTTTGTCTTCAGACATTCTGTACTGATCCCGGCCCTCCTGTGCGTGCGGGGGTGAGGGTGTGGGGGACGGCCTGAAAGAGCATCCTTCTCCAGGCCGAGGTTTCTTCCTCAGCAAAATAAACTGGGTAGAATTAGCACCTAGGGCCTTCTTATGACTAGACAGTGCTAGTAAGAATCTGAGGCCTGATTTGAGCTCAGGAAGATGAGTCTTCCTGATTCCAAGCCCAGTACATGTACTTCAACACCTAGTTGGCCCTAGGGTTTGTGTTTTTTTTCCCCCCTAGGATTTTTCTCATTCAAGTCTCACAACTCTCTCCCCCCTCCCTTTCCAGATAAGGTAACTGAGGCTCAGAAAGGTGTAAGTGATTTGCCTGTGGCAGGAAATATAGAGGATGTAAATATATCGCCTAGGGAAACACAGGTATTAAGGGGTCAGAAGCAGGAGTGGGACCCATGTCTATCATAATTCCCAGATCTAACACGATTTATATTAAAACTATTTTTCAGTTGTGAGGGAGTGATCTAAGTCTAGTGATTCAGTTCAACAACAAACTTTTATCAAGAGCTTGCTGTGTGCAAGAAGTGCTTCTAGGTTCTGTAGCTAGAGATGAAAGATAACATTTCTTATTAGAGGGGAGGTGCCATGTAGGCAGATGTTATAATACAAGTTTCAATGTCACGGGAGCAGAAGAGAGATCCAGACCTAGCCCACTAAGGAGAAATGTTCAATTGGGGATATCAGAAAAGCTATAGTAGAAGAAATGAGGAAAGACTGAGTATTGGACCTAGAGTCAAGAAGACCTGAGGTTAGATTCTATTTTAGACACTTAACTGTGTAACACTGGGCATGTCACTGAACTTCTCTGCCTCACTTTCCTCAATTGTAAAATGGGGATAATAATAGCACTCATCTCCTAGAGTTGTGAATGTCAAATGTATTATTTGTAAAGCATAAGTGCTAACTATTATTATCACTGTTTTATTAACGCAATAGCAAGTAGTAATAATAACTGGCATTTAACTTTGTAATGTTTACAAAGCACTGCTCATGTGATAGCCCTCTAAGGTAGGTAAGAAGAGTGTTATCTCCTTTTCATAGACCAGAGAATTGAGACTTAAAGAGATTAGCTCATATACCCATGGTCCCAATAGGTAGTAAATATTAAAGACACAGTTCAAACAAAAGTCCCCCAATTCCAAGCAAAGTGTGCTCTATTGTGCCATAAAAATACAAATATAGAACATGTAAATAAATGTGGGAGAACTTATATAAAGTGATACCCAGATAAGAAAGCAGAATCAGAACAATATGTATACTAGTATAACTTCAAACATATAAAAATAAGAAAAAGTAGAAAAAAAAGATAAGGGAACACAAACAGGATGTTTTAGTGATTTTGTTAAAGATGATATATGCTTTTTTTTTCTCAAAGTGAAGTTTATGGTTTTATGTGTGGTTTAATTTTATTTCATTATTTTTACTTTAAAATTTAAAAAAATAAAATAAGGTTGTTGGGCAAGGTGATTTGTAAGGTCCTGTCACTTCTGTAATCCAGTGATCCTGTGGTGACCTTGTCCAGAGCGGTCCCCAACAAGTGATCTCCAATAGGTGTACCCTATAATCTTTGATCATCCCTTCTGAATCAGATTTTCTTTTGTTTCTTATCACCCAGGGAAGCTGACAATATGGAGGCACCTCCAGTCACCATGATGCCAGTAACAGGTGGCACTATTAATATGATGGAGTATTTATTGCAAGGTAAGTTAGCCTAAGAATTGGATATATCACCCACTTTGTCCTTTTTTTTAATCAATTATAATAAACATTTTTGCCAGGAGATAAGGCAGCTTAAGTGTGTATGGTTCTAGAGTGGGTAATGGGAACCTTGGGTTCTGGGTCAAGCTTTGCCTCTAAGTGGTTGTGACCTTAGAGGAGGAAACTCAGACTCAGAAAGGCTCTTGAGTAGCCTCCGGGGCTCAGTGACTTCTGAGTAAAAGGGGTGGCTGGAGTAGGTGGTCTCTTACAAGTAAGTTGTATTTTTGTTTTATAGATGGTTATCTAGAATGTAGAAAGCTAGAATGACGTTTAGGATTTAATGGAGCTTCCTAGGAATTCTGGTCCTCCGTCATGCCCCTTCAGCTTTTTGTTTCCTGACAGAAGTGAAAAGTGAGGTTCCATGATGTTTTCCTTCCCTTTAGGAAGTGTTTTGGATCACAGTCTGGAGAGCCTCATTCACCGACTTCGGGGTCTGTGTGACAACATGGAGCCTGAGACTTTTCTGGACCATGAAATGGTGTTCCTCTTAAAGGGGCAACAAGCTAGCCCTTTTGTTTTAAGGGCCCGGAGATCGATGGACAAGACAGGGGCACCTTGGCATCTGCGGTACCTGGGACAACCTGAGATGGGGGACAAGAACCGCCATGCCCTAGTACGTAACTGTGTAGACATTGCCACGTCAGAGAACCTGACTGATTTCTTGATGGAGATGGGCTTCCGAATGGACCATGAGTTTGTTGCCAAGGGTCACTTGTTTCGAAAAGGTATTATGAAAATCATGGTTTACAAGGTTTTCCGCATCCTGATGCCAGGAAACACAGATAGCACGGAGGCTCTGTCCCTCTCCTATCTTGTGGAGCTAAGTGTTGTGGCACCAGCAGGACAGGACATGGTCTCTGACGACATGAGAAATTTTGCTGAACAGCTAAAGCCTTTGGTTCACTTGGAGAAGATAGACCCCAAAAGGCTAATGTGACAGAAAGGGAATGCCTAACATTGGGGTCTGTTCTTTTGCATTATAGAAACCAAGACTCAAAATAAATATCCTTGAACAACAAAAACTGGACTTCTTCGCTTTAAGAACCGGGGTCCTAGGAGCTTACCTGAGCTCTGGACCTCCAATCTCCTTTTGTGGAGATTTCAGCATGGTGCGCTTCCATCTCTTTGGAATGAAAAGTCCAGTCATTTTGTGCCATTCAGTTAGCTTATTTGTTGGGCTGTATCAGCAGTGTCATCTTTAAAAATTACATTTTATTTTTTTCAGTTATCAAACCTTTACTTTTTCTCCCTCTTCTGGAAATACAAAAGAAAAACAAAACCCTTGTGACAAATATTTAGCAGTGCCGTTTTGATGGTATGACATCTCACCTAAAATTTGATTGGATTTCATTCTGATAACCCTTTTCTGTTAGCACAGGAAAAAGAGGGTGAACGAAACCAGTTTTTTTGGAGGCAAAGGAAAGGTATTAATTCAGTTTTTCCCCATTAAAATTTTGAGTGAGAGTATCTTAAGACCAAAGGCAGTGAGTATATGTCATATGGTAAAATAACATGTAAAGCAGTGGGTCCATAGTTTCTAATTCTCCTTTCTATTTCCACCCTAACCATTTGCAAGTTTGTTACCTACCATAGAAACATGCAGAAATCTACACATCCTGTGAGGCCAAAAGCAGGCATAGCTCATGGTGTGATTAACATAAAGAATGTTTATTTTTAGTATTTTATGCATACTCCTTATTTTCAAGTCAGAGTCTCTTCTGGATATTCCTTTCACCTCCGAAAACCTCCATCGTAAGCAAGAAAATAAGCAAAAAAGACTTCTCCAGGTGACTGTATCTGACAGCCCAATGCCTCCCCACTGAGAAGGCGGAACGTTTATTTCCTTATCTGTCCCTCCCAGTTCATTATTAGTTTTTTTTTATTTACTCAGATTAATTAAACAATTCCTTTAAATGATGGTTTCATTGTCAGTGTCCTTTACTTTATGTCTTGTCGTTTGCTTCTGCTTACTTCATTCTGCGCACCAATTTATATAACCTTTCCCCAAGAATTATTTGTTGTTTTTTAATTAAATTTATTCTTTCTAGTGCACAGACTGTGTAGCCTTATGAGAGAGAATACAGGCTGTGGATAAGTGTGAGTCTGCTAAAAATCTTCCTGTGTTTCTCCAAGGTTCCTGTGTGGTTATAGTCTAAGCTCCCTTGTTCGCTAATTGTTGACCTTAGACTTAGGGTCACTTATGTTCTTTGGGCTTAAGTTTCCTTATATCTAAACTGTGTGAGAATGGACTGGAGGAGCTTAGTTCCCTTCTACCTCCAGAACTGACCAACTTAAATTTTACCTATTTCTGGAATTTGCTGGTATTGATCTTTTTGGATTTGGGATAAAAATGGTTGCAAAGATAAATAGCTTACCTTCTGAAATGTCTAGTAGCATTTTCTTAATCCTTCTGAAAAACTGACTCTTCTAACTTTTCAGTTTCTATCAGCAATCCAATAATTCTCAGTCACCCAGTTCAAAATCTGAATAATCTCTGAACCTTGTTTTTTTTGTCATCTCCCATATCTAATCAGTCACCCAGTCTTGGCCATTCTTTGCTTCAAAATGCTTCTTAAATCAGTCTCTTTTTATTCCCACTGTCAGAACCCTAGTAAAGGCCCTCATTAAATCTCACTTTTATTAATGAATAGTATCCTAAGGGATAGCTCCTTGCCTTCAATGTCTACCCAATCAATCTAACCTGCTCGTATAATATTGTGACATTAATCTTAAAACACTCCTTTCAATGTATCATTTTCTTGCTCTAAAGAAACTGCATGAATTGCCCATTGGATAAAATATTATGGAATTCAAATATATCTTGGTTATCCCCACCACTGTGCCTTTGCTCATGGTGTGCCTTTTCATTTAATCTATGCCTATTCTTTGCCTAATTTAAATCCTACTTCAAAATCTAATGTAAGTCCTACCAGAAAGACCACCATGCCCCATAATGGTACATGTCTGCTTTTGACCCAGGCCCACATTTCAGACCAGGGTGGAGGCAAGGGACACTTGTTAGAACAGTAAAAAGCCAAAGTGGGAAGTCAGTTTGCCAACATTCCTGGCAGTATGCCAGGCCTTCCTGGCTCAAAACCTGTGCTTGGGCTCCTAGCTTTCCAGTTCCGTAAGTCCTGAGATTTTGATGTTCTGAGAAACCCTGATCTGCCCCCAGTCACTAGTCTCCTGTTATTTGGATCCCACACTGGGGAGGGGAAGCTTCTCAAGGGCAGGGATTGACTAACTTTTAGTCCTTGTTTCCCTAGTGCTTAGTACAGTGCCTGGCACATGGAGGACACTTAATAACACTTGATTGATTAGCTTTAGGGGCCCACAATAACAATGATCTTTCCCTTCTCTGAACTTAGATTGCACTTAATTTGTTCTACTTTTTTTGGTCCTTTATCATAAAATACCTTCTAGATTAAGCTTTTAAAAAATCTGTTTATATTTTGTCTCCCCAACTCATTGGTCAGTTCCTCATGGGCAGGGACTGTTTTATACTCTGCCTTTCTCACAGCCTACCTAGCTCTGTACTGTTCGTATAGTAGGGATGATGATCTTTGTTGGGTGAATGCTTACAGGTAAGCTTTCCTGTCTGAATTGGTTCCTCCGAAGTTCTCTCATGGGTCAGATTGGAAGCTATTTGGCTCAGTAGATAAAACATGCAACAGATTTTGGAAAAATTAAGTTCTCTTGCTATCCCTCCCACTGATTGTTTTCTTTGACTTTGGACGAATTGCCTAGACTTTGTTATTCTGGTTTCCTTATCTATTGAGTGAGCCAATCATAACCATCTTGCCCGTTATAACTGAAGTTAGTTAAAAGTTTCAAACAAGCAATAAAGTGGTTATGAGAAACCATGGGACCACATTGGTCACCCCACCCTGGCCACACCCCCTTTTTGGACAGGTGACCTTGCAGGAAATTCATCTTCCCCCTTCGTAGTGGAGGAAAGTCAAGTTCAGGAAAGGTGGTTTAACTGGTCGAAATTTTGTTAAATAGTCAACAACTCAGGGAAACAAACATCCATCCACCTGTCCTAAAATGCCCAGAGGTAGAATTGCAGTGACAGCTGTTTAACAGAGTTGCTGCATAGTAATTTAGGACGAGTAGTGAATTGAGATAGACAGGATGTGATTCATCTCCCTGGTGTCTGGTTAGAATAGACTGTAATTGGGGTGTTTGGCTTTTTTGACTTACTATGTGAGTGACCATGAAGTCAATAAGCAATTAGTACGATTCTATGTTCTAAGTGCTACACTGTGCTGAGCACTGGGCATGTAAAGAAATACTAAAGAGTCCCTGCTGTCAAGGAGCTCACATAGTAATGAGGGAGACAAAATAAAACTATACGCAAATGGTATAAACAGGATAAACTGGAATTAATCAGCAGAGGGAAGGCATTAAGATTGAAGGGAATTGGGAAATGCTTCTGATAGAAGATGGCATTTTAGCTGAAACTTGAAGGAAGCCAGAGGCAGGGATGAGGAGGGAGAAAATTACAAGGATGGGAGACAGGGAAAATGCCTGAGTTAAGAGATGGATGTCATGGGTGAGGAAGAGCAAGGAGGTCTGTGAAACTGGGTCACAGTAAATGGGGCTGAGTGAGGTGTAAGAAAACTAGATGGGGGGGTCAGATTATCAAGGACTTTGAATGCCAAACTTGGTTTTATATTTGATCCTGGAGGTGATAGGGGAAGCCACTGGAGTTTAATTGAGTAGGGGTCTGACATGGTCAGACCAATGCTTTAGGAAGATTAATTTGTTAGCTGAGTGGAGGTTGATTGGAAGAGGGAGAGATTTGTAGCAGGAAGACCAACCAGCAGGCTATTGCATTGCCCCACGTGTGAAGTAATAAGGTCCTGAAGCAGGGTGCTGAAGTGTCAGAGAAGAGAATATAGACAAGAGATGTTATGAAGGTAGAAATGGTAGGACTTGACGACTAATTGGATGTGGGGTGGAGAGAGAGAGGAGTCAAGGACGACACCTACCTGGTAGGCCTGGGTAACAGGACATTATTACCCTTGACAGTAATAGGGAAGTTAGAAGAGAATATTTGGGGAAAGATAATGAGTCAGTTTCAGATTCAGTTAGTTTAAGAGGTCTATGGTTCATTCAATTTAAGATATCTAATAAGTAGTTGGAGATGTGAGACTGTAGGTCAGGATAGAGGTAGTTAGTGCTGGATAAGTAGATCTGCGAATCATCAGCATAAAGATGATAATTCAATCCATGGAAGCTGATAGGATCACCAGTGAAACAGTATAGAAGGAGAAGAGAAGAGGGCTCAGAGTCCCGGAGAACATCTTCAGTTAGTGGGCATGACCTGCATGAAGACCCAACAAAGGAGACTGAGAAGTGATAGATAGGAGGAGAACCAGAAGATAGCAGTGTCACAAAAACCTAGAGAGATGAGAGAGCCAAGGAGAAGACGGTGATCAACAATGTCAGAAGCTGCAGAGAAGTCAAGAAGCTTCTGCATCCTTTAGGACGAGAAGGATGAGGACTGGAAAAAACTCATTAGATTGGGCAGTTAAGAGATTATGGGTAACTTTAGTGAGGGCAGTTTCAGTTGAATGATAAGATCAGAAGCCAGTCTATAGAGAGTTAAGAAATGGAGGAACTCTACCAGTGGAGGCCATTGTAAATGGCATTCTCAAGGAGCTAACCACAAGACGGAGAGAGAAGGGATTATAGCTGGCAGAGATGGATGGATCAAGTGAGGGGGTTTTGAAGACGAGGGAGACGTGGGCCTGTTTGTAGGCAGTTAGGGAGGCAGCCAGTAGACAGGGAGAGATTGAACATAAGTGAGAATGATAAAGGGGCAGTCTGCAGGAGAAGATTAGATAGAAAGGGATCCCTTGTGCATGGAGAGGGGTTTACCCTGGTAAGAAGGACCACCTCTTTGTGTGAGACAGGGTGAAGGAAGAGATATTAGAAGACATCTGAGTAATGTGAAATTAAGAGGGGAGAATAGGAGCTCTTGACAAATGGCCTCATTTTTTTTCAGTGAAATATGAGGAAAGGTTCTCAGCTGAGAGGATTGGAGGAACTATGAGAAATCTGAGGAAGGATGAAAAAGTTTAGAAAAGCCACTGTGGTGAATGAGTCAGTTATGGCCTTATCATATTGTGGGTCCAGTTGAGATTCTGTCACATAATCTTGTAGTGAGCTCAGTCAGCATGGTTTTAGGATTTTCTCCAGCTTCATTCAGCATCACATGCATAGGGGCAAAGGCAGTGGGTGGTGGGAGTACTCCAAGGCAAAAGCAGGGCAAATTCAGCCACAGGGTAAGGGGGCAAGGGTCTCAAGAGAACAATACAGTCCAGAGTTGAACTGGTTCACCCAGGATCCAGATGGGGAAGGAAGGAGCATAGAATGGTAGAGAGGTGATGGCCTGGGAAAGAACTAAGGGGCTGAAGGAATGAAGAACAGGGCATTGTAAAGCAGAAGGAGAGATGGCATGACAACAACCTGTGACCAGATAAGGGAATTTTAGAGTTCATGAACACGCAAGCAGTCCATTTGATGATGATAGCAAGATCATTTCCTTTTATGGCCATCTTTGTGTGTATCTGATGTGAGGAAGGAAGGAAACAAGCACTTATTAAGCATCTACTATGGCCAGGCACTATGCTAAGTGCTTTACAATTATTACCTTCAACCCTGGGAGGTAAGGTGCTATTATTATTTTTTTTTTTGGCTAGGCAATGGGGTTAAGTGACTTGCCCAGGGTCACCCAGCTAGTAAGTGTCAAGTGTCTGAGGCTGGATTTGAACTCAGGTCCTCCTGACTCCAGGGCTGGTGTTCTATCCACTATACCACCTAGCTGCCCCCAGTAGGTGCTATTATTAATTGAATTGTCCAAAGCCACACAGTAAGTATCTGAGGCTGGATTTGAATTCGGGTCTTGACT